TCCCCCCAAACTGCCCCAACATTGAGGTGAGGCCCCAGGGCAGAGCAGAGCGGGACAATCCCCTCCCTGCTGCCCCCAGCACAGGGATGTCCCTCCTGGCTGCCAGGGCACTGCTGACTCAGGGACAACTGGCACCCACCAGCACCCCCAGGGCCCTTTCCTGGCACTGCTCTCCAGCCTCTCATTCCCAGTCTGTCCATCCATCCAGGGTTGCCCCATCCCAGGGGTAGAAACCAACCCTTCCCCTGGTTGAATGTCCTTAAGCAGCTGATTTCCAGCCCTCAGATCTGTCCAGGTCTCTCTGCAGAGCCTCCCTGCTCTCGAGGGAGTCAACACCTCCTCCCAGTTTTGGGTCATCTGCAAACATCCTCAGTGTCCCTTCCAGCCCTGTGCCCAAATAATTTCTCCACTTCCTGGGGCTGTCACTGTGGGTTTTGTGCTGCCTCATGTGGAGTCAACAGCTGTGTCACCCTGGGACTCTGCACCTTCCATTGTGGTCGTAGGAAATTCTGGACTGCAGGTGGGGAACACCAGGCACAGGAATCTCTCTCTGACTGCCCTGCTCTGACCTGGCCAACAACATTCTTCTTCTGCTGTCGAAGAGACCATTCCTTTGGATTAGTCTTAAGAAGAATTTGAAAGAAAAATGAGAGAATATCCATAAACCTGCAAGAAATTGATAGCCTGGAGGCCCAGTTCCAGAGCCATCAATCTGGGCTTCAGTTATACCACGTTAGGGATAATGGGAAGGATCAGATTCCCACTGGAGCACTGTGTTACACATAATTCCTTTCTGTTGAAAGTTGGACTTGATGATCTTGGAGGCATTTTCCAGCCTTAATGATTCAGTGATTCATCTTGACCAAAAGTCAGAAGATTTAACACCTCCTATTTGGTGCCAGTTTGAGTGCCCAGAGATCAAAGCTCAAAGAGAAGGGAGTAAAGGAGAGACTGGAGACAGATGTAACAGCAGGAATAGTAAAATATTGGTGAGCTCCTTGTTCTCACCTTTAATTTCCACTTTTAAACACACACACACAAAAATAGCATAAAAAGTAACGATAAAAAATGTTCCTGTGAGTCATCAAAGGATATCAGGGAAAATAAGGAGCAGCCCAGCTGGCTAATGTGAACTGGACCTGGGTATCCTTGTTGTAAATGTCCCAGTAAAATGAAGCCTTGCAGAAGAAATTAAATAATTAACTGATCTACCTGATTCATCTGACATTCTGGAGCTGAATAAATTCTTCCAGAAAGCCAGTGATTCCAGGAGTTCAGCCTGTCCAGCACAGGGTTGGTCTGCAGCTCCTGGGTTTAAAAGAAAAGGAAAAAAAAAAAAAAAAAAGAGAGAGTATTTGATAGCAAGAACTCAGATAATCATTCTCCTCTCAGGGGTCACCCCAGATGCTCTGAGTGGATCCACAAGGAAATTAGTGCAGTGTTGGAAGGTTTTTATTTGTTTCAGAGCATTTGGTGTCCCATGCCCTGGATCACAGAGTCCCTCAGGACAATCTCCAGTCCCTGTCTCCAGGATAATCAGCTACACAGGGGTTTCAGCAAGTACAAAAGTCTGGATTTAACTGGAGATGCTGATCAGGAAATCCAAGGGGGAATTAGGCATTCTTGCCTGCTCTTGTATCAAGCACACTGAGCTCCACCAGGCACAGATACTGCTTCATTAACACCCACTGCTGCCAAAGTGAAATATTCTCTGTATTTCTGGTTTGAGAGACAGTGGTTCAGCAAGAAACCGAATGTAAAAAACAACCCATCCTTTAATGTGAAGATCATGGCTTTGTGGCTGCTCTTTCTGAGGTTTTGTAGACCAGATTTCTGCACAGATTTCTGTTGTGATTAAGAATTTCTGAACACTGGCTTTGTGTTTCTCTTGCAGTCTCTTCTGTGCATCTGTTGGTCTCTGACAAAACAAGATGTTATCTCTTTAGTCAAAAATGGGAGCTGAGGTTTCTCTGTCTCATCTCTGAAGGAATCAACTTTTGGGTTGAATTTTTTAGTGTAGCAGTAGACACAACAGCCTTTCTGATATCTGGATCTTGCTGACAAGAGCTTCATCTGAAGGGCACGAGGCGTTCCAGTATGCCCAGTACAAGTGTCTGGGGAAGGAGGGAGCTCATTCACATGAGACTGATGCCCATCTCCAGAGGGAAGAGGGCTTAGTACCCTCCTGCCTTCCAGCTTCCCAGCATGTCCCACCAGGTACTCAGTGGTCACTGAGTTGTTTTTACACCAGGGAAGCTCCAGCAAGGTCCTCATTCCTGCCTGCTCCTGCCCCTGGGTGTGTATCTTGTGCACAGCAGGAACAACTTCAAAGGCATCCTTGTTTTTTCAGCTTCCTGTCGGTTTTCCATCCCTTTCACTGAGCACAGTGAATGGAAAACCCTGGAGTGCTTGAGCCAGGGGCACTGTCTGACCTGAGCTGACCTGGATCTCCAAGCTCACAGAGAGCACAGCAGAATTTGTGCCTGATGTGAAAGAATATGTTTCCAAGATACTTTCTGTTCCCTGTCATATGAGGAGCTCCCAGTCAGAAAAGTTGAAATGGGGAGTGACCATCTGGGACCACGACAGCATCCAGGGTGTGCAGAATGTGCACAGGGTTCATCAGAGTTATTGCCTCTGGTCTGAAATAGTTTCAGGGAGAAGGAGATCGGGCTTGTTAGAGAATTAACTCAGTCCTTCACCTTCATTTTGTATTAGGGCAGTAACAATAGGACGAGAGGAAAGAAAACCTGCAGGAGGAAACACCTCAAGGGTGGTGCTCTGGGGCACCCAGCAGAAAGTGGGAACCTTCCATGTGTCCCTGGAGAAGTCACAGGGGCGGCCAAGAGGATTTTGCCCTGAATGACCAAACTGTTCTGGTCACATCAACGTGGCACCCACATGGCAGGGCCACACCATGTGAAATACCCTCCTGAGCTGTCCCAGATCTGACTTTGCTTCAGGCAGGAGAGTAAAATCTCCCCAGTGGTGACACTGCAATTTGTACATTTGGCATCTCCAGCTGCACGAGGGTGTTTCATCCCCAGGGCTTTTTCTCTGGGATCAAAGACTTGCTACCTGAGGCTGGGCTGTGCTGAGTAGGAGATCCTCACTGGTTTGCTCTTAGTCCTTAGCACAGGCCCAGAGAGATGTCAGTCTTTCTCCACTGAGTGGGAAATGGCAGCACATGGTGGTGTTGAAGTGGGAGAGTGTTTGGACAGAATTGTCTTCTGAATCCTCCCTAAGAGAGCATGTAATGTGGTGTAGAAGAAAACATGTGGTAGGTTAAATCAGCAGCCCTGGTAAATGAGTTTATCTTAAAATATGGAAGCTCAGTCACTGCTCTGGAAATAAAGGAAATGGGGTAAAAATGACTCCTGGCTCAGCACTGCTCTCTGCCTGACACCCCAGGGAGAGATCAAACTTCTCAGCTGAAATCGCTGAGGTCAGCCTGTGAGGGAGGTATGAGCATCCTCCTCAGGTATTTACAGAGATGACACAGCCCTGTCCTTCCTCCCTCTTTGCTCCCCCTACCTCTCCAGCTGTGAGGATTCAGTGGCACTGAGGGACACAGCCAGGGACAGAACCCAGGGCAGGGCAGGCTCAGGGTGGATCTCAGCAAAAGGTTCTTCCCCCACAGGCTGGTTGGGCACTGAACAGGCTCCCCAGGGCAGTGGGCACAGCCCCAAGGCTGCCAGAGCTGCAGGAGGCTTTGGATGATCCTCTGGGGCACAGGGGGTGACTCTTGGGGATGGGCCTGTGC